AAAAGCAAAGAGGTTTTGTGTTTTGGGGTGGTAACCTGTTTCAGCTGGATAACCTGTGCTCTGTCTAGATTAGGCATCCTTATCCTCATTATTTTTTTGTAAGATTTTGTCCATTAGCTTTATTTATGGATTAGTGGCACTGCCTTATGAATTATACTTGTAATTTCTGATTACTGTGGAGACTAATTTGGTGCTCTGCAAGAGAGATTGTAATGCCTGTTTGAGCTTTATTTTCTGTGATAGATGAAAGGTCAGTTTGCTGATCTTAAGCACTTAAGTCCTCTGAGCTTATCCTCCCAGCATTAGGAGAGTGCAAAGGGACTATTAGGTTGGACCTTTTTCATGATTCCTAGAGTTTCAACACATATAGGGTCATGTTTCTTAGCTTTTTTATCTCCAGGGACAAAACTGGAATTCCTACTAAATATTAATTGGATTGCTTTACCTGCATGGCCATGTATGTGCCTGTGGATATGGAAAGACTTGAAGGTGGTTCTTGCTTCCAGCACTTATTGGCTGGGGTTGTTGTGCAGAAAAGGCACAGGGTAGCCAGAGAGGGGAGAAGCCCTGCCCATTGAATGAAGCTCAGGGATTGTTGCAGTGATTGTTGCAGTGAATCATTTGATGTTAAGGCTTGCACAATATAATCTGTCAAGTAGTCCCAGCTGTTTGATTGTTACTCTGACTGCTTACCCCCACCTCGCACCCTCCACTGGTACTCACTGTCTCTAGCACTGATACAGCTCATAAAAGCTCAGCATACCGTTTGAAGAGGGTGGTTTTCATTGTAAGAGTACAGGTGATCCCTCCTCCATCCACCCACATTTGAAGAGCCAGCTTCTCTCAGCACAGCTCTTGTGGGATTCTGTCTGCAAAGCACAAAGCCAGTTTCTAATCCAATCACTGCCAGTTTAAGGGATCAGTTCACACCATTGGTGTCCCAGGAGGTTCTTACTGCCATCGTTAATTGCAGCCATCTCTCACTGGCCCATCCGGAAGTGGGCAAGCAGAAGACTGCACAGATGTTAATGCTCTGTGCCCGCAACATTTTGTGGTTGCTACTAAGAATAAAAAGAGTGAAATTAATCGCTAATAATGGATGTGCTACTAACAGAAACACATCACTTGTACCTAACACCAGCAGGTTGCTTATGCGTATTTGCTATGTCTAAAAATACTCTTATTTTATTTTTTTTTCTAGCAACCAATTTCATCTAAAGTCTATTTTCACACATCAGTGGCTGTTAATCAGTTAAGGAGTTATCAGTTTTAATATTAGGAAGAAAGAAGCAGATCTCATCAACAGCTTAAAACTTAATTTTTTTTTTAGCTGTCTTGCAGCAGATTGTGGGGAGTCTTAGGCTCATCTTATTTCTCCTCCTTTTCTCCCCACCTTGAAAAGAGATAGTGCCCTTACATGTGTGACTGTACGGTGCTAGTTCTACACATCCTTTCAAGAGCTGTTGAATTAGAAATACTAAGATAAAAATATAAGAAGACTAAAATAAGGTTCAATTAGAAATGAAACCCAAGACATGCATGTAATTTTAAAAAAGTCATGTATACTTTATGAAGAGATTGTAAGGTTGACTGTCAGAAGAGGAATAGTGAGCTAAAGACCAAAACCCAAGGTATGTGCAAGGTAGGCTGTTTGTGGCCCTGTTCTACTCTGAATCCAGTTTCCAAAATACATGAGATATTACCATCAGTGGCAGAAAAATGATATGGTACCAGCCCCTGCTTTTGGCTGTTGAGCTCAGACAAGTCTGTGCCCATCTGGCTACCGTGATACCTGCTGTGCAGTGTGGAGGCATAAGATGTTCCTGGCTCAGCTTTCATCTAACAGTATCCATCACAGCATTCCTGTTTATTAAAAGATTGTTGCTTGAACCATCTCATCCATCTATCCTCTCCCTTGTGTCAGGTACAAAGCAAACATAGGAAAGTATACAGAGAGAAGTGTTTTAATAGATACTAATTATGTCTGAAACCCCTTTGCAGTTACAGCTGCTTCTGCTCCTGCTCCTGAGCATGGTAGCACAAGTGTGTTTCCCATCAGGAGTGGTCCCCAACCTGCTAGCCATGAGAGGCTGGAAGGCTATGTGGTGGGCACCCTGCAAATCCTGTTCTGTCCTCCCCACAGCTTCTGATGCAGGAGCATGGACTTGGCATGCCACCACTTGCTATGCTAATTGTTGCATTTATTTTTATTTCCTGTCCTTCCTTTTTTAGCATATCCCATCTCCTCCCCCTGAATTCTTCCTTTCTATCCAACACAAGAGTATTCCGCTTAGATGTGATAGCACACTACTCTTCTGGCTTCAGTGTTATTTAATGTTCTTGATTGTTCTTTCTAATATCTTTTGGATAGAGAAGGGACTTGCCTGATGCATGGGAATCTATGGATTATACGGAAATTGGTCCAGTTCAGTTTTATTTCACATGCCTTATTAAAACATGTGTTATTAGTGTTGTACATCTGTTGACTCCATACTTATTCATAAAAACCAAACACTCCCTTTGAGCTGAGCTACGTATCATACCATCATTAACAAGCTGCACCTTGTTGAAAGTCTGTCAAGGAAAACTGACTTATTCTTCATTTGCTGCTTTGCACAAAATAGAAACATGCTAAACTCTTGTGCTGTAATGATTTTCTGTCTGTCTTGATGGGACATAATGAGGCAAATTCAAGTCATTTTTTGAAGGCTAATTACATCAAGTACATGCTAGACGTGGGCTGCCCTCATTAACGTTGCACATTTTTGTGCTTTCATTTCCCCATCCCTATTGTCTGCAGGTGCAAGTGAGTTTGATTTGGCTTTGAAATACAAATTATAGGGTATAGAGGAGCCATTTGGTGGTCTCCTCTCCCAGAAGATTCCCCAGCGATTGTATAACAAGTCCTTGCTGTAGGAAGGGCAGCATTTGAAGGTGGTTGTGCAGTAAATAAAAGAACTCAACTCTGTGCTAGAAACTGAGGAATGCGCCATAAAGCATGAGGGCAAGCTCGTGGAAAGTCTGCTAACAACCATCAAGAATAAATTCAGCCCTAGGTCTGTTCACCGATCCTGGTGTACAGACACAAAGCAGATGACTGCATCCTGCAGAGCTCACAGCCTAGGTGTAGAGCACTAGTTGGATGATCCGCAGTTTTGAAAATTACAGGGCTTTTTAAGCCTGTAAATCCTTCCAGTTCTACTAGTTTCTTTGCCTGTCTTGTGGGAAGAAAAGGGAGTTTGGGGAAGGTATGGGAGGGTGCCCGGTTTGGGGAGGTCAGCAGGGGTGCTGGAAATGAGTGTCCCATAGAGAGATGGAGAGGCTGCATATGCATGATGGAGATCTGGCAGCCTGTGGTGGGCTTGTGAACTGCTTCAGGGTTGCATGGTATTCAATGGGAGAGCTTCATGTTCTGAGCATGTCTGTGGAGTTGAAGTCGGGGGGAAGTCTGCTGGACGTTCTTGGATCACACCCCTTTGATTCGTGAGTGTTCTTGATCAACAGACTTACTGGTTATTTCCAGGAGTTAGAAGGTGATGTGCAAGTCTCTCACCTTCGGTGAAGCTAGTGGCATAAAAGTGAAGATGTCGAGACCGTTCTCTGGTACTGCAGGAAGCATATCCAGTTTTAAAAGCAGTTGTCTTAGTTGGTCCATCAGAGGAAAAGGGATCTCTAGCAATGAACTGTACTTTATCTACCATGAAGATGAATTCTGTCATTACTGGCTGAATTTTAGCACTTGATCTTCATTCTGTGTTTGTCTGGGACATTCCTGATGGGATAATATTAATGCTTTTTTTGTGAGCTCATTTTCTTTGCAAACTGATTACAACTGGGGAAGTTTGAATGCAGATGGGATTTCCAGGTAACTTCTGTAAGTCTGACAGCAGACCTGGGCATCATTGGTATCACACTGGGCAAAATCATTTTAAAGCATCTCTGACGGAAAAAGTAGCAGCGTTCCGGAGCTGCTTTAACTTATCTCCATGTCTCTGCTTTTTGAGACAAACACAAAATCAAGTTTTCCTCCTTTTGCTAACAGTGGGTTTGTAATTCTGCATATAACAGTGTGATTACAGGGCCAGCTGCTTTTGTGCTAATGCCAGGGTGGATACATGCAAACCTATGGTTGTCACTGCTTCTGGCTGACTGCACGCACACAGGTGAAGTGCAGAGTGCTGTGCTTAGGTGAAGGAGTGCATTTTTCAGGAGGCTGGGAACAAGATATTACTGTATTCACTTCAAATTATTAAAAAAAAAAAGAAAACAAGAAATGTTCCTAAGTTACAGTAATCCATATGTTTGTGAGAACAAAAAACAGCTCTTGTATCAAGTCTTTGTGCCTTGTCATGCATATATATTGGAGCTGGGAGGAATATCTTGTATGGCAAGCATGCCTGGTTCAGGCTATACCCAGAGCAGTCTGTCTTGTATGGAGCACTTTAAAATTCATCATAGGTTTGCAGAGGAAAAGACCCTAGGGAAGTAACCTTATCACAGTGTCTTAAAGCTGTCAATCTTGAGGTCCTTCCACCACCGTGTTGCTATTTGTTTGCTGAGACATTGATTTCTGGATGTAGAACATCTTAAACAAAAAACATGAGATGTATTTTACCCGTTTTTCTAAGACTGAATGAAAAAATCCCCAAGCACAGTAATGTTTTCTAAAGCAGAGCCCAAATGATGTTGCCTCTAATGCATTCAACAAGGAAAAGAAATGCTTAGCAAAGGCAGATGCTAGGGGAAAAAGAACAATCAACAGCTTCACATTCTCTTTTCATGCAGATATTTAAGTATTCACTGACTGCTAATGTCCAAGACTGTTTTAAAATATGCAAACCAAATAGCTTGCAAGTGTTTTTCTGTTTTCTAGCTGAACATACATTTTTATTGGGGTTGGGGTTTTTTTGGTTGTTTGTTTTGTTTTATTTTTTTTAAGGAAATGTGAAGAGACTAATTTTATGATGGGAGAGCTTAGCCTGTGGTTCTTCTTTTCACAGTATGCAGACCTGGGTTCTTCAAAGCTTCACCCCACAGTCCATCCTGCAGCAAATGTCCCCCTCACAGCTACACGCTTGATGAAGCATCCACATCTTGCCTGTGTGAAGAACACTATTTTAGGAAGGAATCAGACCCACCTACAATGGCCTGTACAAGTAAGCATGTGCTTATAGGGTTATTTTTAATCCTTTCAAGCTGTTCCTGTACTATGCCCGGACATAATGATCCTAATTAATGTGCTTTTACAGGCTCTGGGCTGGAGTCTGAACTAGCCTTGACACACTTTTAATGTCTGGTTTTGTCCACCAGACCTCTGGTTACACAAGAATAAACTTTCAAAGCCTTTTGCTTCAAAAGCTGGCATTAAACCCAGGAAGTGTTTTTTGTCTCCAGAGGTCCCTTCCAACACTAATGACTCTGTGATCTGTGACTCTGTAATGAGCAAATGCTCCATCTCTCACCAGCCACTTATGGGCAGACTCAGCCAGCAGCATGGCATTCAGATACCCGCATCGGTGTGTGCATGGGTACCGGTGTGGGGCACACACATCTAGGAAATGATGGGTAGCACTTGTCAGTGCTAGGCATGGATAGAGCCTACATGTTCCTGCTCAGTATCTTCTCTTAGCTCATTTTCAACAAGCAATCAGGGAGAGACCCCTAACTTTCCGGTCCATCTGGAGAAGGTCGTTCTTCAGGGTAGCCTCAAAACTGTGATGGAAACTGCTTCTCCAAACCTGTAGCAGAAATGTAGAGCTTTTCCCTTTGGTGTAAGGGGAGGGTAGATAACAAGCAAATTGGGGTATTGGAAGTCCAAGGTGGAGTCTTTGGAATCACTAATTTTGCCCTTTTCCTGCCATCTGTAAGCTGTCCTGTCAGCTGTACTTCGAAAGTTTCTTGTTCAATTTATGTTTAGTATTCTGAGGGCCACATTTTGCCACATTCCAGCTAGTCCCACTGAGTGTAGCACAGACCACATTTTTTTTCTGGGTCTCTCATGCTCCAAATTAAATTTTTTGTGGGGCAAAAGAGGTTAAAAGGGACCAAAGAGAAGCTGAGCTACTGGAGCAGGAAGAGATAGAGCTTCCAACAAACTTAAACATTGGAGGAAAAAGTAGGTGTACGAGTCCATGCATGCTTGGAGCCGCTGGGACATAGTGCAGAGGTGCCTTCCATACTGTTTCCTTGCATCATGTGGGCATGGGTTTTTGTGCCTTCATCAAAAGCATGGTTTATTGTGCCTTCATCCCAGTGAATACAGATGTCCTTCCTATCTTCCCAAGCTTGCACTTCAAAAACAGAAAGAAAGTCTGTTCCTGTTGGAGAGACGCAAAGGAAATTGCCCTCGGCAGGTCTCTGCTTGCCTGAAGGAGGCACTCAGAATAGAATCGGGGCCCTTGAACTCTGTGTTTGCTCTTCACCAGCCAAAGGAGCATAAAGCATGTGCCTGTTGGAAGGTGTGCTACAGGGAAGGAGAAGACGGCCTTAGGCAGCTGGTGCTGTCAGATCAAAGTGGTCTAGGGGGATGAATCATGCAAGCACTTCTCAGTTTATTTAATAGGCATGCTGGTGTCTTTCGGAGCAGTAGCTAGGGTGGGTTACAGCATGAAAAACTTTGTTACCAGGGTTTCTTGATGTCCATTTTGCCCCTTGGCCTGACTTAGATAAATGAGAGACGATTAGGTCCAGCATGGTACTGGGAGATGGGAAGGGAGTGGAATACTCTAAGCTCTGGAAACACATTGGCTTTTCTATGCAGGCAGAACCAAAGCTAGGGACTGACACAGGTATGCCAGGCTGCCAGTGTCAGCAGTACCTCCTGTCCATCATCGATGATACTGCTCTCTGTCCCTTCTCAGGATGGAGGGGTATGCATCCAGCCTGTTCTGCTGGCGAAGCAACACAGGGAAGGAGTTGGAGTCCCCAAGGAAGAGCTTTATGCGTGCCTATGACCTGAGTGTAGGGCAGGATTTTCAGAGGCACAAGCAAGCTTGGTGACCAGCTCATACTAAAAAGTAGTACAACTGGAGTGCCTGTCGCCCCCAGGTTTTTGGTGCAATTTGAATCCTGTAGGTAAAGGCTGTAATTTCTGATTCTGCACATACTATGGGATTTTCTCTTTGTGTTTGTTTGGGCTTTTTATTTTTCTTCTTCTTTTTTTTTTTTTTAATAAAAAAGTAGGTAGTAAATTTTGTCAGAGACAGTGAAGAGAAGGTAGTGACACTAACGTTTAAAGCTAGTTCAAATAGATCTGAAAAGGAACATCTCATTGTGAACTGAAATACAGCGAGACAGACTTCAGTCGTGACTGTTAGGAAAATACTGCAAAGATTTGGTATGTTTTTAATATTTATTACCACAGAATTTGATAATATTTGTAGGTTTCCCTCACCTTGAAATCTTGTTAGTTTTAGAGAATCTATCAGTGTCCATCTTCAATTCAGGTCTATATCTGCAAAGTCCCCTTGCCAGTTGCTGTAGCTATGAAATGACATTTTCCTTATTTAAAGCAAATGCTTTTCAGTCCCAAGCTGCATGAGTCTCCCCACCACCAGCAGCATCACCGAAGAAAACTAACTGCTACACCACTGTTAACTGCTCAGTTAAGTACACTGAAGGGAAAAAAAAAATAGATTTAATTTAATTTTTCCGGTTCCATATGCATGTTTTATAAGTAATGTTTGGTGATTTTGAAATTAATACTGCTCTAATGCAGTCTGAAATATTTATTGACCTTATATTATATATTGACCTTGATTATAGCTAAGTAATCCTAGCTTCAGTTCCTTGAACATCATCTTTTTGAAATTAATACATAGTTACACCCTTTGGTTTCCCCCTGCCTCCCATCTCAGAGAAGAAACCCTATGGCTGTTCAGAGCATATTGGGGAAATATGTTTAGTACTATGAAACATAGGACAAACTGAAGATTTTATAGTATTTAGCGTAATGTACTACTCACAAGAAGTTTACAGTTAACTTTATTTTGAGTGCATGCATATACATCTTTATATCTGGAGGGTAAATTCTCAGGTTATTTTTTTTAAATATATACATCAGCAAATAACAGGTTTGATGTCCATCAAGGAAAAATACTAATGTTTGTCTTCAGAAAGTGTTTGCCTCTAGTCTAGTCAGTAAACGGTGGTGCAGAAGGGATGTTTAGATTATAAAATAGCGAACAAATACATATATACATATATACATATATACATATATATACATATATATACATATATATACATATATACATATATATACACATATATACATAATATAGATATATACATTATATATACATATATATGAATATATATACACACACACAGATATATATGTATCTGTAAACTAGTATCTTTGTCCTTGATAAAAGGAGGTTGGAAATTAAAACAGACCTTTCTAGCAGACCTAGGGCCCCCTCTTCCAAAGATAAAACATTGGTTTGTTATCCCAGCTGTGATTTATCAGAATTTTACCCATTGTGGCTTCAGGATTCGTCAAGTAGGTCTTGTAAGATATCTGTAGACTACTAAAGACCTTTATCTGAGCCCCTGTGAGAATTCTAATTTTATAGGTTATGAAGTCCCGCTAGCTTCAAAGTGCTTCCACTGAAGTTGATGTTTTTAAGCCTTCAAGAACAGCAGCTGACTCTTCTGTACAAACAAAGTAAAATTCTCTGGTGAATTTACAAAAGTAGTAACTTATCCTAATTACAGACACATTGTCCAGTAAGTGTTTCTTGTGCCTGATTTCTTTATTTTCTTCTTAGGGTACTGGTAGCAGTAAAAGGGCATTCATCCACTGGAAGAAAAAATAGGCCAATCTAAACAGTAGAAACATATAGAAAACCTCTGAGTGCAGTATATGTAACTCCACACAGCTCCAGGGATGAATTTCATACTTTCCATTGTATCAGTATGAGTATGACAGTGCAGAAAATAGTCCTGACTTGGGCTGTACCTTGGTGTCATTAGCTAAGTAGCAGTAGGTCCCTGTGGCTCAGATTGCGAGTGGCTTGCTTCCCGTGATCTAAAGTGATCACAGGACAAACGAGGCAGATGTGTTATTTCCTAAACTAACTTAGCTCTTGTATTCAACTGCTTTCCTCCCTCCCCCCAAGGAGAAAAAAAAAATCAGTATTATTTATTTCCTCTGTAAGTTTCTCACTGAGTCATAACAGCTTGAGTCGAAATCATGGCAGTGTTTTATCAGTGTTACCAATTTTATAGACTTAAATAGGGGAATAGGAAAGGGAAATAGAGGAAAGTGCTTCTGGTTTATAAGGTAGTTTCAGTTTTGCAACACTGCCTCTTTAAAATATGATATTGAGTTTAATTATTACAACAAAACAAGAAGGTGACAACCTAAGACAGACTTGAATTCATATGGATTTCTAGGTGATGAAGTTACTTGTCGGGCTCTTTTCAATGAGCTGCTCATGAGTTTTGACAGCTTGATTCAAACTGAAGGGAAGTGTGTTGCCTTCCCTCATCAACCTCCCTTGGAAAAAATCCCAGTCTTTGCTTCATAGCTTCTGGTGGTACTGTGACTAAAATCCTTCCTGGCTTGCTTTGATAAATTTCCTCTTTCTTCCTCATTCATTAGCATTCCCTGAGTATATAACACATGAATCTCTTGCGTGAGATTCCTGCTTGTCCTTTCACATTGTCTTCAAGGGTGTATATGCAGCTTGCCCTTCATCTCCAACACAAGCCTGTTAAAAACACTTGCAGCACCTCTGCAAGTAAGTAGTCTTGAAGGTGTCTCCAGGTGGGCTTTGCTTGCCCAGCTGTGGTCTTTCCCAGCAGGATGAAGGAAAACAGCTCATCTTTTGCAGGAGCTCTGGTACCTCTGCAGCAGCTGTTTCTCCTTTGATAGCCTTGCCAGCACCATGCTGGCATCCTGAGCGGGGAGGCTTGGCAAAATAAGCAAGCACAGTGTGGCTAACCAACTGTGCTAGAGCTTGGCAGGGATCAAGAAGGCTGCCATTGAGTAGCTGGATATGGCCATGTTTCCAGTGACCCGTGTAGATCACCATCTGCTTTGGGCTACACTGAGCATCTCATTTAGGTGTGATTTGGATGCCCAAGCTTAGGTTTCACTGTTGCCAAATATCTGATGGGGAGAGGCGGGTGCACACAGAGGAGAGATTTGGTGTCTGAGATGAGTACTGAAGGAGTGTGAATGCCACAGCGTATGTCCTTTTTTAGGACCTAGGGCGAGTAATATAGGGCCAGTGGGGTGCAGAGGGGGAATCTTGCTGCTGGCAAAGCCAGTGACTTGCGCAGAGCAAAGATTTGCAGCTCTCTTCTCAGGAAGGGTAAGGAGAGCATGAGAGGCAATGTTCCGGGATGGAGTTCTCTTCCTGTTGAGATTGAGACAGCCCCATGCCTTGTCCTCCTATGCAGGTGGCTGCATCCCAGCACAGACCCCTTGAGGAGAGGTGGGAATACTCAAATCCCCATTTCCCACTTCTTCAGGTGCTTCTGCAAAGTGTACTTTCTGGCGCATGAGCAACAGGGCATCTCTCTTCAGCCTAGTGAGTAGTAGAGAGCAGGATGACTGATAATACTGTTTTTACCATGTGTTTTTCTCACTTTACAAACCAGGACCCCCCTCTGCTCCTCGGAGTGCCATCTCAAATGTTAACGAGACTAGTGTCTTTCTGGAATGGATTCCCCCTGCTGATACTGGTGGAAGGAAAGATGTGTCTTATTATATTGCATGCAAGAAGTGCAACTCACACTCAGGTCTGTGTGAGGCGTGTGGCAGTCATGTCAGGTACCTCCCCCAGCAAACCGGCCTGAAAAACACCTCTGTCATGATGGTGGATCTGCTTGCCCATACAAACTATACCTTTGAAATTGAGGCAGTGAATGGAGTATCCGACCAGAACCCTGGAGCCCGGCAGTTTGTGTCTGTAAATGTAACCACAAACCAGGCAGGTAAGTGAATCTTCAACATGGGGAAATGTCTGGGGTGGGAGCTTGAGCCAGTCAGACCCTGTGCAGACCTCCCTTTGAAACGGGTGGAAGTCCCCAACATGAAGGGCTGGACTGTGGCATCTGCAAATATATGTGTGCGGGTGGTTGTCTCTCATAGGTTACAATTACTGCAGTCTTCAGCATGTTTCCTCCCAGCAGGACACGCTTTTAGGATATTTGGTTCTTTCCTTTTACACTAAGCTACTTGGAGATCCCTCCGCTTCTTTGCGTTTTGCTGGATCCACCTGCTAAACCAGAAAGAAAACGGTTGCCTTTCCTGTTGAGAAAGGGAAATTTCTAAGAGTTCATTTTAATTCCAAATTCCAGTCGTTAAAATGTCCTACCTTTGCAAACAGCTACCTGAAGAAAAATGCTTTGAGTGACTTTAGGGAATTTAATCCCTCTTCTGCACTGTGATGCTAAAGTGACTGGACTCAGGCTGGTAAGATATGATACACTGTCACAGCTTCTCCAACAAGGTAGGGCTGACATGTCATTGTGTACTGTGTACTTCTTGGTTTTGCCCTGTACCAGCAGAGATGTAGACTGGTTTGTTCCTTTGTCCAGAGTTTAGTCTGTCTGTCCTTCCTTTGCCCAGCACTTGAAAAGAGCTTTTGCCTTGGACACAGACAGGGAGCTGCCGTTGTGCCTTGTCATTTGGAGTTGTGATGGGAGGCAAGAACATGATTCCATGTCCCTCCATACACAACAACACACTAGGCATATCACATAGCTTCTGTAAGCCCTGGAGACCTGCCTGTTCTTCTCTTGTCCATCATGCTCTCTGTTTTAGGGTCTTAACCTTTGCTTACCTGGCTTGCTTCCTGCCTTTTTAATTCAGGGCTCCCCAGTGACACTCGTCCACTGTGGAGTCCTTCCAGGAATGTGAACAAATGGTGTTTGGGGCTGTGAGGACCGTGCTGCCAGATCACTGAAGTGAACCCCTTGTCTTCTCCTGACAGACAGGGCTTAGCCAGAAAGTCTGGTGCACTATGCATTATAACAGGTAGATGGAGATTGACAGATCCTCACTGCAGAGCAGAAAAACTGCTATCTGAAAGCAAGGCTGCATTTCATTTCTGCTACCCAAGTGAACATGTGCAGGCTTGGCAGCCAGCAGCTCAAGAGTGTGATTGCATCACACTTCATCAGATACCTGTGCTGGTAATTAGAGTGGAGAGGAAATAAAGGCATCCTGATGGATGTGTCTGGAAATCTCCTGGAGGAGCATCAGTGGATGGCAGTATGACACCTGTTGAGGGCACCTGTTTAATGCAGATCAGTGGGTGTCATGGTCATGATGCTGTTTACTCTTTTCCCATTGTGAAGGCTGCTGCCAATAACTGTTGTTGGAAAAGGTGTATTTTCCTGTTAGTGGGCTTGCATTAGTATTTCATTGCTGGCAATGGATTTTCCCTGATACATGGAGTTAAATCCACATAAATCTCAGTAAGTGTAGGTGCATGGGGGGAGATGATACATTGCTGATCCATGCAGACTGTGAGGAAATGGTCCCAATTCATGACTTACATCCCAAACTCACCATAGGTTCAGTAGGATTTATCCATGTAGCTGTCTTCCTGTTCATCAAGCCAAGAATAACCTCCCTGTGCAGGTATATCCTTCAACCTTGTATTGAAAGGTCTGTTACAGGAAATGGTAGACCTGTGATGAATGTGTCTTATGCTAAGGACAAGTGGGTAAGTGTAGTTTCTGGTTCAGTCTCGCTGTTTATCGTGGTGGAGCTGCAGTCAGGAGATATACTAATGGATCCAGCCATGAGTGCTTAATTCACTGTGTGATGTTGAAATTGCATCTCTATGGTCTCGTGTTTGATTCAACAGGAGTGGTGACTGTATTTTGTTGTCTATCTATCTGATTGATATCGTTCAGGAGGAGAACCAGGCCTTTCTGCTGAACCTGCAGCATCAAATATCCTTCCCAGTAACGTGCTCTTTCAGTACTCCTTGGGATGATAATCAGTTTGTTCAAGCCAGAAACAAAGCAGCCATAGAGGGGGAGATTTTGCAAATCAGATGGAAAATGAATATCTGTTTTCTTAAGCTGCCTCCAAAAGTATCCTTTGAGGCAAGTAATGGAAGTGTGCAGGTGGAGTGATCCATGCCTGGCCATGGCCAAAGATGTTGGATATCCCTGAATGAGCCTCACCTTCAGCTGTCCTCTCTCAAATAAGTGCAGGCAGGGCACATGGGGCTTCAGGAAGTCTCATCCCACTCGTCTTCCACTTGAAATTACCACCAAGATGTACAGCTCTGGGGCCTCATCCTTTCCCTCGCACAGGTTTTCTGGTGGTATGATTATATTTTCATGAAGGCTGGTGTAACAAAGCTGAGTCACTAGAAGTGTAGACACAAGGACAACTGCAGCAGTAGGAGAAATCCTGCTGCAAGAAATGCTGGCTGCAGAAAATGAAAAAAATTGCATGCTGCGGGATAGGTCTGGCTGCTGGAGTCCTGTTGGCAGCTCTTCACTAACCCAGCACTGCAGAGAAATGCCAGGTTTTGTTTTTTTGGTTTGGCTTTTGTCTGTCCCAAAAAGACCATGTGAATTTCAGGGCTGCAGAGAATGCAGAGGCAATGGGGTGCTGGGTGCATGACCTTTTCTGTGCATGAGAGCTTTTGGCAGCAGAAACTATCTCTGGGTTGGGCTTTTGAAGGGATTGCTTCCTGAAAATAATGTTTTTTTCTTCAAAACAGTTTGTACCCCTTTCACCAACTTTAATGAGAAAAAGAATTTGCACTGGCAGTAAGTCTAGCATTTTTACACGGAATTGATTTTCCACTGAACTTTTGAAATTAGATTTGGAAAAACATCAAGGAAGCAGTAACGTTTTGTGCACAAGAGGAGGCAGATCAGCTGGTGACTCCAGCATGCTTCTGCTCCATCAGTCCCTTGGGACCTGGTGATACTTGAGATGCAACTGTCCATGTGGGACGCAGTGGCCTTAGGCTCCAAGTACAGGAGTAGGTCCTCTGTCACCCTCTTGCAATCCCTAAGCCTCTGTTGTTTCTGTGGGATTTTGCAGACGTTTTCCAAGAGAGAACATATATCTAGAAAGGGTGAGCAATGCCACAAGCAAGGGGAGGTAGAAAGTGCAGTGGCCTCCATTGTGACTACCCTAGAGCTGTTGCAGGCAGAGGACCTTATTCCCTTTGTAAGTCCATGGGTTGGCCAAAGTATGGCTCTCTCTTGTGGGATTGCTGCAAAATACATGCCCAAGGGACTTCCCAGCACAGATGGCAGGGAGCCATCTGTAATGCACTCTCACAGTGCATTAAAAAATGTGCCTTGTGCACATAGGCTGGAGCCCAGTGAATAATTCATAGGCTGTAATGATAGTATTAAGTTATTCATCCTTTTTGTTTTCATGGTTTTGCTCAAGTTTCCATACTTTTGGAACTGCCACCTACTTAGATGGTTTCCAGAGAGCAGTCTCCGCGTGCAGCTAATACTGAAGTTTGCTTTTCAAGTGACAACCACGTGATGTTTTTTTCTCAGCAATTTCACCAGGATGAATGATTAAGTAATGCTGTCCTCTAGACAGAGATGTGCATCTCCCTCGAGGCCTTTCTTCTTATCTGCCCTGTTTATAGAAAGCACCTACCATGACGTCTTGGTCAGAGATGTGTGTCTTGTAATGCGTCTGTAGAGAGAAAGCAGTTGTGATTCATGGTTGCCTGCACACTGGTTGTATCATCGTAGGAGTACATGGAGAAGATGCCATGTATAAAACCTTTCTAGGCTTAAAACCTGCCAAGAATACTCACTTTAAGTCTAAACAGCCAAGCAGTTTTCTTTGCTTTTCATTTCCAGCATCTCCATGCTGGGTATGATTTCAGGCATGGTGCTGGCCTGGAGGCAGGGGGTGTGAGAGTGGGGCGGTTCTCCTGCTGGCATCCCAAATGCCACAGGGTCCTTTACGTTTAAAGACCTTATCTATGTGTGTTTTCAGATAAGCTGCCTGCCTGTTTTCTGTTTAAAGTCAGCAGTGTTCAATCCTCTCCTGTGACCTGTACGATATTTTTAAGCCTTTTGGGGGAGAAAAAGAAGAAACATCAAGATCTGCTTGCTAACAGAGGAGGTGTTAAGGTGTCTAATGCCTCAAGAAGTCTGTGTGTGCCTGAGGCCAAACCAGAGATACAAGTTGCATCCTATGGTGCAGTAACACTGTTCAAGTAAATGGGTTACAGGACAGGACCTGGCAACTTGTGCTGCTGCCTGGGAAGCATGGCTAGGTTCTTGCTTGACAAAACAAAATCCCAACAACTCATTGGATGCTTGGAGAAGCTGGAAAGCTCTTGGAACAGGGAGGTGTGCTGAGAGCCGTGATCTTCACTCTGATTTTGCATTCTGGGATGCTGCAATGGGAGAGAACAATGGAGAAGGTGTTTTCCTTAGCACTCAGGATGTACCAGTCTTTGAAAAGCAGCCAAAGGCAATTCAGAAAGGGAAACCTGCAATATAGAGCTTATTGTAATCTTATATCAGCAGCTGTGTGCTTTTGAAACCAATAGAGTGCAGCCCTGCTCAGTCTGGGAAGAAAACATCAGAAAATGAGACAAGAAGATGGCTGTGATGGGAAGCGTGTTTTCAGAGATTGCCATCAGGTTCAAGTCCTGTAAGGTTCAGGGGCTGGTTCTTGGAACTTTCAAGCCTCACAGGCTTGTTTGGTTTGGCTTGGTGAGGGGGAGTTTGCTTATTTTCTTTAGACATAATAAAAAATTTCCAAGAGGATGCTCCAGTAGATGCAGTGTGTTTCATGCATCTCACATGATTCATGAAGGCTGGTTTTGCAGCTCTTACTTTTCAAGCAGAACTACTGACCTAGGGCCTGTGAAAGCTTAAGTAGATGCTTAGTTTTGGTACTCTTTTCACTGCCAGGGTGATGAGCAGGGCTTCCCTGCAAATGTCCATTGTAAGAGAACTTGATCCATGAGGTG